GTAAAATAGAATTTTAGAATATAATTTGTTGTTGTTGTTGTTATGTTTCGTCGAGTCACTTGCGACTCATAGCGACCCTATGTACAACAGCCCTAACTCCTGCTCTGTCCTGTGCCAATCTCACCATCTCCGACACACCCATCCCGATTACCCCACTCACTGAATCAATCCACCTCATAGAGGGTCTTCTCCTCCTGCTCTGTCCCTCCAAATTCCCAAGCACGGCAGCCCTCTCCAGGGACCGATCCCTCCTTGTGAGTATGTCCAAAGTATGTCAGATGAAGCCTCAGAATCCTTGCCTCCAAGGAGCGGCCTGGTTTATTTAACCTTCTCCAGGATGAAACTGTTTGTTTTATTAGCAGTCCATGGTACATTCAATACTCTTCCCCAGCACAAAGCACAGCTCAAAGGCATTCTTCTATCCTCCCTAGTCATTTTCCAGCTCTCTGATGCATAGCAAGTGATTGCAAAGACCATGGCCTGTATCTGGCCCACCTTAGTCTCCAGAGTGATACTATTACTCTTCTGTATCCTGGAGAGTAACAGCAGACTTTCCCATCATAATATGTCTTTTAATTTTACAATTAAAAAAACACAGTGAAAATATAATTTATTAATTTAAAAAGAAAATTTATTATTATGCAATACATAGTCTTCACAATTGCTTGCTATGTGTCAGCTGGAAAATGACTAGGAATGATAGAAGAATTGATGCCTTTGAGCTGTAATGTTGGAGAAGAGTTTTGAATATACCATGGACTGCCAAGAGAAGAAACAGGTTTGTCCTAGAGAGGGTGAAGCCAGGCTGCTCCTTGGAGGCAAGGATTCTGAGGCTTTGTCTGAAATACTTTGGGCATGTTGCACTGAGGGCCAGTCCTTGGAGAGAGACATCATGCTTGGAAGGGTGGAGGGATGGAGAAAGAGAGGGAGACCATTGATGAGATGGATTGATGCAGTGACTGGGATAATGAGGATAGGTATGTTGGAGACAGTCAAGTTGACACAGGATAGAGCAGGTTTCAGGGCTGTTGTACTTAATGGTTGCTATGAGCTGCAAACAACTC